AAATGGCAGCATCAAAGCTATGTTAATTCCAGGAATCTGGCTCTTCCTTGAAGAGTAGGCTGTGCTATCTGCAAAGGAAAGTTCTGTGCACCTGCCTACCTCCCAGGCAGCAGTGAGAGCACCACCTGTCGCTCCCGCTGGTGGAGATGACTCTGGAGTCTCAGCCTCACTACTGCCCGCACCTCCAGGCAGAACCGACACCCTCCCCACTCCACAGGGCAAAACGCAGCCAGAGGAAGCTTCTTTAGGTCTAACATAGCATGGGGAGTGGCAGGGGTGCCTCCTCGTAGGGGGAGGGGAGAGCCAGGAGAGGGGTTCAGCTCAGAACTCTGGGAAGGAACTGGGTACTCAACAGACAAAGCCTGGGTGGACAGGGACCAGGTCTGAGGTCTGTGCGGCTGCCTGGCGCTGCAAGTCAGGTACAGCCATTTCCACTTCCTCCACCTGCACTGCTCCATGCAGCCCTTCCATGGAGGCCAAGCATGCATGTGACCCACAGGAGGCCGGTGAGGCACTGAGAGGGGTCTGGGGAAGGGAAGGGAAGGGATTCACACATTCCAGGCCTCAGGGCTCAAGCCTCCCTAACAGGCAGTCAGGGTGGAGTCACAGGTGTATCCTTAGCGGAAGAATGCCTAAGATGACTCCCAAGACAAATGTAACCTCTGACCTCTAGTTCACCCACAGCTCCCACCCGGCCAGGCAGCAAGATGCCCTTGTCAGAGAGACACGTGTCCCAAAGCACTGCCACTCCCCAGCGAGGAGGGGTCCTTATTTATTCTTCTCAGCACGCCTGGAGCCTGACACAGGGCTTACCACACCGCGAGTTCCTGAAGTATCAATATTTATTAAATGAATATTTTATGAATGAATAAAATAATATGCAAGTTAGAAGCATTCAGAAATGAGAATTTAAGCAAAAACTTAATAACAAAAAAGCCTGAAGCAGAAGACTAAATTGTGATTATTTGCAGCTGGGATTGTTAATGTCATCAGCCTTGCACTGCCAAGAATGAGTCAAGCTTACTATACAGGACAAGCTTAGCAATTTATAATTTCTTTAAAGTGTTTTATACTAGTGTCATAAGAAGACTAGATGCATATTCTCTGGCATCTTCAATACATCAAGGCATTTAGACATGAAAGAGCAGTTCAAGGGCCGACAGTTCCCTATGCCACAGCACTGGACCCAGCCCTGCCAAAGGTGTAGACCCCAGAGGATGCATCGGTGCTCCCTGAGTATACCTGTCCTCATCCTTAGAAACCTAGGGTGCTGCAGCATCCAGCCACAGCCCTCACGGCTCATACACACAGAAGCGTGCACCGGCCCCACGCACATACCCACACCCACGTGGCAAGTTCTGTCCAAGTGATCTTGGGAAGGAAGGTTTTTCTGGCACCTCTCAAAGGCAGGCCATAAATGCCCCCCAAGCCACTAGATCTCTAGCTTCCAGCAGCCCAAGCAGAACCTGCTACAAGGCTGCAGGGCCTGGCTTGACATTCATGCATGTCATTAACAATAATCACATTAAATATGAAATACCCTGGAAGCCACCTCACAGTGAGTACATTAGCATGGAAATGAATAAAGTGGCATATTTACACAATGAAATATTAATAGCAGTCCAAATGAAAGAACCAGATTTATATTTAGCTCCAAAGAATAATGCTGATTTTTAAAGTTTTAAAAGGACATGTATGATATAGAACCACTTATGTCATTAAAAAAAAAACTTTTGGCTAGGCACAGTGGCTCACGCCTGCAATCCCAGCACTCTGGGAAGCCAGTGTGGGTGGATCCTGAGGTCACGAGTTCAAGACCAGCCTGACCAATATGGTGAAACCCTGTCTCTACTAAAAATACAAAAATTAGCGGTGCCCAGTGGCTCACGCCTGTAATCCCAGCACTTTGGGAAGCGGAGTCAGGCCGATCAGGAGGTCAGGAGTTGGAGACCAGCCCGGCCAGCATGGTGAAACCCCGTCTCTACTAAAAATACAAAAATTAGCTGGGCATGGTGGCACGCATCTGTAATCCCAGCTACTCAGGAGGCTGAGGCAGGAGTATCACTTGAAGCCGGGAGGCAGAGGTTGCAGTGAGCTGAGATCATGCCACTGCACTCCAGCCTGGGCGACAGAGCAAGACTCCTTGTAAAATTAAAAAAAAAAACAAAAAAAAAACCAGCTCTCAAAATCATGTTTGGTTGGGATCTAAGTATATACAATAAAGTAGCAAAACATGCATGTGGAATGATACCATCACCTCCAAGAAAGAAATTACCCTGAGGAAGAAGGAAAGAGAAGGGGAGAAGGGTTGAGGTGCTAGAAGAGAAGAGTTTAGCTGGTTTACCTTTTCTTGTCCCAACATTTTCTTCTAAAGCATTTCAAACATAAGGTGAAAATAATTGACAGTGAAGACCCTGTATGCCCATTAAGAGACGCCGCTGTTAACATTATACTATGTTTACATTAGCACCTAAGGCGTTCATGTGCCCATCCATTCATCTGTCAGATGTTTTACAGATCTCAGAGACTATAGGAGGTATTATCCCCTGACCCCAAATCCTCTGGTGTGCACATCATTAACTAGAGCTCGACCCTGGTTTAGTTTTCTCTTCTGATATAAAGCCAATACATCATGAAATATTCAAATCTCAAGTGATTATTTGCTGAGTTTTAACAAATAAATACACATGTGTGACCCAAACCCCTATTAAGTTATACAACATGACTGTCACCTAGAACATTACCTACGCCCTTCCCTGGTCAAACCCTGTTCCAGTCTCTCCAGAAGGAACCGATGTTCTGAGTTTTTCCATCATAAACTGGTTCTGCTTGTTCTATAAGCTGGTGTAAAAGTAATTGCTGTTTTCCCCATTAAATGTAAAGGCAAAAGCCACAATTACTTTTGCGCCAACCTACAGTATTTCATATCAACGGAGTCACATGGCATATGCACTTTGGGTAAGGCTCCTTTCACTTGGCATCCCATTCCTGAGACTTGCCTGTGCCGTTCTGTGTGTGAGTAATTCATTCGTTTCTGTTGCAGGGTACCGTTCCATTTGTAAGAAAACGCCACCGTTTGTTTGTGTGTTCTCCTGAATGGACACCTGGCCTCTCTATTTTCTGGCTAGGAACACTGTTGTACACGTCTTCTTGTGACTGTATGTTTTATATTATTCTTAAATAAATAACTAGGGTTGAAATAGCTGGGCAAAGGGTAAGTGTATGCTTAGTTTTATAGGACAGCCCCAGACCTTTCTCCAAAGCAGATGCACCATTTAAAATCCCCAACCACAAGGCATGAGAATTCCAGTTGCTTCACAACCTCACCAATATGTGTGTCTTTAACCATTCTGCTGAGTGTGCTTTGCTGTCTCATCGTGGTTTGGACTTACGTTCCACTACTGATTGATAAGGCTGCTATTTTTTAAAAAAATTTTATTTCCGCCGGGCGAGGTGGCTCAAGCCTGTAATCCCAGCACTTTGGGAGGCCGAGGCGGGTGGATCACGAGGTCAAGAGATCGAGACCATCCTGGTCAACATGGTGAAACCCCGTCTCTACTAAAAATACAAAAAATTAGCTGGGCATGGTGGTGCGTGCCTGTAATCCCAGCTACTCAGGAGGCTGAGGCAGGAGAATTGCCTGAACCCAGGAGGCGGAGGTTGCGGTGAGCTGAGATCGCGCCATTGCACTCCAGCCTGGGTAAC